ATTGAAAACAGACATTTCTGTTCATTGCCTTCTCCTCTCCAATCTCCAGTATTGTACCAGTCTTGTAATGTTGTTGCTGTACAGATAGTTTGGATCACTGTCTTTGTATCTCTCATGATCTGAGTCCCAGTTAATTCATTTTTAAATAATATTGTTTCATTGTTTTTGACACTACTGCATTAATGACTGTTTTTGTGTGTGTGCATCTACACACTTTGCTTACACATACTGTATACTGCAACACACATATACCGGGTATATACCGTGTACACCTCTTTTTTCTCACACACATACTCTTATCTTTTACACACATAGAGTGTCTCTGTGTACAGTCACAGATTCTGTCTGTCATACATAGTCTAATTTCTACACACAAACACTGGGTAGGTGTGTATGTAGGTGTCTCTCATACATACTTTACTCACATACTCTCTGTCTCTCTTCCACACGTGCATTGGGTAGGTGTATGAATGAATATATACACACCAACACCCAGTTTCTCTCTCTCTCTCTCTCTCTCTCTCTCTCTCTCTCTCTCTCTCTCTCTCTCTCTCTCTCTCTCTCTCTCTCTCTCTCTCTCTCTCTCTCTCTCTCTCTCTCTCTCTCTCTCTCTCTCTCTCTCTCTCTCTCTCTCTCTCTCTCTCTCTCTCTCTCTCTCTCTCTCTCTCTCTCTCTCTCTCTCTCTCTCTCTCTCTCTCTCTCTCACACACACACACACACACCCTATTGTCTCACATATACAGTCGACCTCTCACACAAATTACAAATCTACCCCAGCATTATTTGTTCATTTTTTATGATTTTATTTGACAGTTTTATGTTAAGTAATTTGCCGATGCTCATTGAACGGTTGGCTGTCCATACCTTTGACATCAAGATGAAGCAGTCTGCTGCCAGATCACCTGCAGCTGAATCATATACATGTTTTGGAATTACAAATTGTGTTCTTAACCCATAAGCAACAGATTGCAAATTTATATGTGTGCGTATATGTACACACACACATGCATGCACGCACGCACACACACACACACATTTAAACACACACACACATTTAAACACACACACACATACAAATCTTTGCTCTTTCTGTTTCTCACACCCTCTACTTCACACATACATTGGATGGGTCTCAATGTACTTGTATACACATATACCTTCTCTTCCCCCCCCCCCCTCCCTCCCTTCCCCCATATACTTTCTACCTCCCACACAAACACATACATTGGCTGGTAGTCTGGCTACATTTATATACACAGACATACCGTGTCTATCTAGAAAATACATTGCAACAACACAACCCTAACAGTGGACTGGACTGCATTGTTACTCTGTTAACTGTTGGGTGCTCCAGTATTACTGGGTTCTGCTATTAACAGGATTTCGTGGATTTGTACCTGTTTGATTCTTATCCATGAGGTAATAATCCTACAGAATGCAATCCTGAATATGAACTTGAAGAAAAACAAAAAGTTTTCTTTCTCTCATACACACACTGATTACCTCTCATACAAATTATGTATTTACACATTCATCCAATGGGCTGTCAGCCCATGAGGCATTTATGAAGATTATTATTTAATCATCCCTAGCTTACAGGATTATTTTGTGGGAGTGGAGTTTGTTGTGGGAGTGGGGTGTGTTGTGAGAGTGCCTTGTGTTGTGGGAGTGGGGTGTGTTGTGGGAGTGGGGTGTGTTGTGGGAGTGCCTTGTGTTGTTAGAGTGGGGTGTGTTGTGGGAGTGGGGTGTGTTGTGGGAATGCCTTGTGTTGTGGGAGTGGGGTGTGTTGTGGGAGTGCCTTGTGTTGTGGGAGTGGGGTGTGTTGTGGGAGTGGGGTGTGTTGTGGGAGTGCCTTGTGTTGTGGGAGTGGGGTGTGTTGTGGGAGTGGGGTGTGTTGTGGGAGTGTGGTGTGTTGTGGGAGTGCCTTGTGTTGTGGGAGTGGGGTGTGTTGTGGGAGTGGGGTGTGTTGTGGGAGTGCCTTGTGTTGTGGGAGTCGGGTGTGTTGTGGGAGTGGGGTGTGTTGTGGGAGTGGGGTGTGTTGTGGGAGTGGGGTGTGTTGTGGGAGTGGGGTGTGTTGTGGGAGTGGGTTGTGTTGTGGGAGTGGGGTTTGTGGTGGTGTCATTGTTTTAGTTACTGGTTGATTTAGTTGTTGTTCATGACATGCTTCATGTTGTGTGTACCCCTAGAGTTCTAGCCTCGGTTACTTTGAGTGTGTCATAGTTGAGACTAGCGTACAGTTTGTTTAGTCTTTGAGATTTAAATTATTTTTACTGTACATTATTCAAATCTAAATCATTGTTACTGTGTTTTTCCCCCCAAATATAAATCAGTGTTACTGTTTTTTCCCCCCCAAATATAAATCAGTGTTACTGTTTTTTCTGTGATGCTGAGTTGAGTTTACTGCTTAGTTTTTCATTGATATATCAAAAAAATTATTTATTTTTCTCTAAAATTTAGGAAAGTTTATTATCCATTGTGCGGCGTCCGTGGCTTAGTCCGACTCGTAATTCCAACGTGGTATGGGGCATCGCAGGTCGACCCAGCCTAAAGTGGGTACCAGGATGGCTGTCCTGGGGAAGTAGAGATGGCCGGCGTAATGCTGACCACATTACCCACCTAGTGCCGATGGTCTGAAAAAATATGGGCGATCTTCCCATATACCCGATGCGCCTAATGGTGTGACAAAGGATCGTTACTTTTTTACTTACATATTATCCATTGTGGAGTAAAGTAATATTTTCTTAAATTTAGCCATGTTTACTGAATGCTTCTTCTTTGAAACAGAGTCAAGTTACTGCTTGTTCTCCAAAACTAGACCAACTTTATTTTTTCCTTAGCTTAAATAATTCAGCCAAACTTAATTGTGTTTCTCCATAGTTGAGCCAAGCTTTTTTTCTGTCCTCGAAAGTAGGGCCACACTTGCTGTTTTGATTTAAACTGAGCCAGCCATTTAAGCCAGACTCAGTTCTTTGTCAGAACCTCAGATTTAATGTCTGCTTTTCAGAGTAAGCAGCCGCCATCAGAGCGTGGTCTTTTATTGTTATGTTTCCCTTTGAACTGTTAGCTAGCAGCATCGTCATCAGTTTTCACAATTGCCACTAAGTGTCATGGGAAGGAACAGTTTGCAGTCCCTTTTTTCCTTGGGCCACTTCTTAATTTCCATTAGATCTTTTCACGCGTTGCACCTGCGTTGGTAGTTGTTCTTGATGTATTCATACTAGATGACCAAACCATTTGATCTTCTGTTTCTCTGTTTAATGCATGTTGTTGTTCCCACAATCGAATGATAGTGCCTGTGTTCAAAAGCCGCTGTTTCACAGATTTATTTTTTGCTAGTACATTTTCATTCATGATTGCTGTTAGGTATTTGAAGCTCATGCATCCAATTCAACTCAACACTGAAAGTTCTACCACATGTCAACACACAGATTACCAGAAATACATTGTAAAAGTTCTTGAATGAAATAGAAGACATAATTTTTACCCTACAGTGATGTGTAATGTTAACTTCTGGAGCCATACTAAGTTTAGTTAAAAAGACAATTCGTGGTGAATTTGTAGTCACATCAAGTGAGAGGGCACAGTGATATTGTAGCCACATCAGGTGAGGGGGAACAGTGCTGTTGTAGCCACATAAAGTGAGAGGCCACAGTGCTATTGTAGCTACATCAAGTGAGGGGGCACACTGCTATTGTAGCCACATAAAGTGAGAGGGCACAGTGCTATTGTAGCCACATCAAGTGAGAGGGCACAGTGCTATTGTAGCCACATAAAGTGAGAGGGCACACTGCTATTGTAGCCACATAAAGTGAGAGGGCACAGTGCTATTGTAGCCACATAAAGTGAGAAGGCACAGTGCTATTGTAGCCACATCAGGTGAGGGGAACAGTGCTGTTGTAGCCACATAAAGTGAGAGGCCACAGTGCTATTTTAGCCACATCAAGTGAGGGGGCACACTGCTATTGTAGCCACATCAAGTGAGAGGGCACAGTGATATTGTAGCCACATCAGGTGAGGGGGAACAGTGCTGTTGTAGCCACATAAAGTGAGAGGCCACAGTGCTATTGTAGCCACATCAGGTGAGGGGCACTGCTATTGTAGCCACATCAAGTGAGGGAGCACAGTGTGGAGCCTAGAAGTAAATGGCTCTTTGTCACACCCATGGCACATCAGCTCTTTGTCACACCCATGGCACACCAAGCATTGGATGCTAGAGTCATATTTCAAACCAATCAGCACTCGATGGGTGATATGGTCAGCGTTTGTACCCGGAAGCCAGGATCAGGTGTTTTTTTTTTAATCTACTGTGCAATGGATGCAACAAATCCAGTGTACAAAAAAGTTATTATAACTGTTCAGGCTTGTTAAACATACAATTACTGATCTGTGCACATGAGGTAGAGAGACACAGGACCCCATTTGGTTTGTGGGGTGGGGGGGGGGGGGGGGGGGAATTAGTAGGCCCGCTTCCCCCTAACAGGCAGATGCTCATAAGGTGACTAATAAGGAGTTTGTTGACATTGAATGTGTTGGGCTGAAAGGTGTAGATATCACAGCCTTGCTGTAAACCACGACACAGCATGCCAACTGCACTTTCATGGTTGAACACAGAAGAAAAAGACAGAGAAAACCATAGGTGAAACAGTCTTACAGGTATTATTTTTTCAAAGTATTTTCCCTACAGGTCTGCTGTCTAAACGTTTGACACCATAGTGAACACAGAGAGCTACATTTCAGATGCCAGTCCAGCGGAAGCACTTCCCCAGATACCCCATTCAACCTTGTAGAAGTATTATCTTGGTGCACCCTGCTGTTCTTGGTGAATGAAAGCTTTGTAGATCGAATAGGTAGAGCTCTGGCAGTCTGTTGAGTTGTGTGTGTGTGTGTTTGTGCATGTTTGCTGTTTCATTTGTGGGGTAACATGTTTCACAAAGTTCAGGTTTTATTTTGTCAACAGGTTTCATGTTATGATGACATATCATATGAACCGAAATGTAAAGATAATATGCAATGTAAAAATTGTCAGGTTTTCATACGCTGTTTGTATATGTGGGCATTTGCTGCTGTATATTATGGTGATGTATGCATTTTTTCTTGATGTTCTGAAATTATCTATTGTATATACATTTATTTTATTTAATAATTTTTTGGTTGGAACTTTGCTAGTGTACTCACTAGAGCATTCACTGTTGATTTAATGGGGCTCACAAAACAGGAGAGTGTTCATTAGTGCACAAAAGTATTTACCTGTAATTTTAAGGATTCACCAGTCACCTGCAATTCTTCAGGCTTCAGAAATATCTGATGTAGTAGTTTACAGGTTTTTTCATTCTGCACAGTAGATGGTAATGTATTCCTGCAATTTTCAGGGTTCACCAGTGCACGATACAATTTACCTTCATTTTCAGGTCTCAACAGTGCATGATACAATTTACTTGTAATTTTCAGGGTTCACTAGTACATGTAATTTAAATGTCATTTTCAAGGTTCACCAGTGCACTACACAATTTACCTGTCATTTTCAAGGTTCACTAGTGCACTACACAATTTACCTGTCATTTTCAAGGTTCACTAGTGCACTGTACAATTTACCTGTCATTTTCAAGGTTCACCAGTGCACTACACAATTTACCTGTCATTTTCAAGGTTCACTAGTGCACTGTACAATTTACCTGTCATTTTCAAGGTTCACCAGTGCACTACACAATTTACCTGTCATTTTCAAGGTTCACTAGTGCACTGTACAATTTACCTGTCATTTTCAAGGTTCACTAGTGCACTATACAATTTACCTGTCATTTTCAAGGTTCACCAGTGCATGATGCAATTTACCTGTAATTTTCAGGGTTCACTAGTGCATGATAAAATTTACCTGTAATTTTCAAGGTTCCCAGTGCACGATACAATTTACCCGTAATTTTCAGGGTTTTCCAGTGCGTCATAAAATTTACCTGTAATTTTCAGGGTTCACTAATGCATGATAGTGTCTGCTTATAATTCTCTAGGCTTACGTGTAAAATACTTGGGTGTTTTTAAGGGCTCCTCAGTACACAATGATGTTTACCTGTAATTTTCAGGGTTTATAATTACATGATAGTATTTAACTTTAATTTTCAGGGTTCACTAGTTGATGATAGTGTCTATCTCTAATTTTCAGGGCTCACCACTGAACTTATATTTTTCAGGATTAACTAGTAGATAAAAAGGAATTACCTTTAATTGTTAGGGTCCACTAGTGCATGTTGATGTATACCTGTAATTTTCAGTGTTTGTCGGTACATGGTAGTTTTCATACCTGTAATTTTCAGGGTTCACAGTCCTTGAGTTTGTATACCTCTAATTTGCTGGCTGACTTGTACAGGATAGGGTTTGTCAGTGTCCAATGTGCTTGCCTGTGCTATTGAAGTGTCTTGAAAAGATATCAGACCAGTCAAAAAGTAGAACTAGTCAGCTTCATAATATGACAAACACAAACAACAAGTGAAGGTTGTGGCTTTCATCAGCACATGACATGAATCTACAATACCACAGTACGAACAAGAATTCACTGAATTGACATAGCTCCTTTAGGAATCATATTGGTCTTAGATCAGTAGAGTTTCTGATATGTGTGTGGTCACCATAAATAAATACTGGCCAGAAAAAGTCATGTGTGACAAGGGCCCTGACTCAAATATATTAGATAAAACTGTTGGATGTTAAGTCCCCTAAGTGAATTAGCGCCCATGAAGTGGGTAAGGCAGTTCTCGAGACAGGTTCTTGAGAGACTTACAGACTGTCATTGGAGCGGCCAGATTTGATGGCTGTATTGACATGACTGTAAGTTTTGCTGAAGCCACCTTTATGTAAAGTCTTTACTCTGACCTCTTCAGTTTCCATATGACTTGTACCAGCTGTCACATTTGTACGTGTTCCATACACATACAGACAAGCCACAGTACTGTAGTGGCTCGACGCTCAACTTCCTGCACAGAGGTCTAGGGTTCAAATCCACATAGAGGCATCGACTGCTGCTGTGGTTTTGGCCACATCACATGAGGAACGCTGATTGGTTTATAAAAATACAGGTCTAGCACCATATGCCTGATGTGCTGAGGGTGTGTGAAGGGCGTCCTTTAATCTTTTTTGTTTTTGTTTAAAAACATATATTACATTAGTTGCAATTATATATCATTAAATATGATTATACGTGATGTATTGAGCATCAGATAAATTAAGTATCAGATAAATTCTGAATTGAGCCTCTGATAAATTATGTATTGAGTATCAGATAAATTATTAATGAGCATCAGATAAATTATTTATGCTCGTCAGATAAATTATTTATGAGCATCAGATAAATTATGAATTGACCATGAGAAGATTTATGTACTGAGCATCAGATAAATTATGTATTAAGTATCATATAAATTCTGAATTGAGACTGATAAATTATTTGTTGAGCATCAGATAAATTATTTATGAGCATCAGATAAATTATGTTTTAAGCATTAAATAAATTGAGTATTGAGCATCGGATAAATTATGAATTGAACTTCTGTTAAATTATGTATTGATGAACATCAGATAAATTATGAATTGAACTTCTGTTAAATTATGTATTGATGAACATCAGATAAATTATGAATTGAACTTCTGTTAAATTATGTATTGAGCATCGGATAAATTGTGTATTGAACTTCCGATAAATTCTTTATTGAGCTTTAGATACATTATGTAGTGAGAATCAATTAAATTATATATTAAGCATCACATAAATTATAAATTAACCATGAGATGATTTATTTATTGAGCATCAAATAAATTATGAAATGACCCTGACATGAAAAAATATATATATATATATATATATATATACTATCTGTTTAGAGAGAGTGAGAATTTGTGGGTTGGTCTGGTGTGTTTGTTTATCAGAGCCATCCTTCAGAATGCAGGTAATGCTAAATGCATCAATTATGTATTGGGTTGTTGCTAAACCCATCAGCTGTATACTGAGTCGTTGCCAAATCTATCTGTTGCATACTAATTTGTTGCTAAACCTATCAGTCATGTATTGAGTTTTTGCTAAATCCATTTGTTATTATATTGAAATGTTGCCAAACCATGGCCGGCTCTAGCTGACGGGCCGTGCTGCTGACGTCACTAGGTCGGGCTAACGATGCGTTAAAGCAGCGGTTCTCAAACTGGTTGCCGAAGCACCCTGGGGTGCTGTGATCGTATATCAGGAGAGTCGCGGTAATAATCAAGAAAAGTCGGCTAAAAATTGTGAAATTATTGAAGAAGGCAAGTAAATACTTAAAAGTTAAAATTTAAGTAGTCTTTCCTCGCCACTGTCAACAATAGTTTATTTCTTGTTTGAGAACCACTGTGTTAAAGCATCGTTAGCCCGACCCGATGACACCAGCAGCACGGCCCGTCAGCTAGAGCCGGTCATGGCCAAACCCATCTGCTATGTTTTGAGATTTTGCTACTGTAGAATGAGGATGTGTGTGTACTGAACTTGCTGGACTAGCCAGCAATGGCCTAAGACTGCTTGTTGAGTTTTCTCTTGTCCGACAGCTCAGGTTAACTAAAATAGCTACCATTTGAGAGCTGAGGAAGTGAAGCGGTTAGCCCACCTCATAATCCTATGACAGTATACATGAAGATCTTTCACTTGTCATCTTTGTGGTTGTATCTCATGACAAACATCGGCAGCTTATCTATTTTGATTCCCTTATTAATTTTGGTACCCAATTTTGGAGGGAAGATAATAAATATTGCTGACTAATTAGTGGTGTTTTCTTTGAAGTGCTGGTGCATCTGCCTGGGGGGATAAACTAAGTGTGCATAAAAATAAGGCACATCTGTAAACGGATGTGCACGCAAAACTCAAGTTTTGGAACAAGACAAAAGTTCAAAAGCGGAGGATTAACTAGAGCTTTCCACTGTAGTTAACAGCCAGTAGACACTAAGAAGATTAAATGTATATTGCTTGTTGTTGTTGTTATCGATCCAGCGGCGCATGAGCTTTCGCCCTTTGGCCCAATGCCATGTAGTGGAATTTGCATGTTTTCACAAGCTGTTCTTTTCCTCTGTACAAGGTGTTCCACTTGTCTGGTATCGGAGGGAGTAGCATTCTTCTAGTCTCACTGAGTTTTGGGCACTCAAAGAAATGGTGTTCAACAGTTTTGTAGGGGTAGTTATATAGCAGGCACTCTGGGGAGTGTTGTGGCTGTATTCTGTTTAGATGTCCATTGAGTGGAGTATGTTGCGTTCTAAATCTGAAGATGGTGGCCTGGTCCCTTCTTGTTAGATGGTTAATGCTGTCATTAGGATCAGGGCCAGCCATGTGTCTATAAACCTCTCTTCCAGTGTCTCCCATGGCCCATCTGTTCAACCAAGTCTCTTTGTTTATAGCTCTGTATATGTTGATAAGAATGCATATTGATAGATAGTACTAGAACAGGGAGGGCATTTGTAGAGTACGACTTCTTTCTGCTTTGTTCACCGGCTGTAAGCCCTGAGGAAAAGTCCTGGTTGTTCATCCATGTGGACTCTAGCATTGTGTAGAGCCAGAGTTTTGCATGTACATCCGTTTTACTAGCTTATTTGTGTGCAGTTGGTTGTTCCTTGCCAGTCGGAAAGGACTGGGTCCGAAGACAGTTGTTGGAGTCTCTAGAACCTTTGAGTTTGACACATATCAGTTTCATATTTGTGCCAGGGCAGGCAGGTGTGCAAGGAAATTAGCAAGCTGATCAGCTTGCAGGTAAAGTTACTGTGGAGGGCAGATGAGCAATGAACCATGCTGATATTCTGAATGCTCTAGGAGAAGTAAGACGTTTGCGAGAACCAGGTGATGGTTGTGAATCTATAACCATGACCAGACAGCAAGAACAGGTTGTTAAGAGTGATGCAGGAAGCCAAAAAAAAAAAAAAAAAATCAACGCATAACTGGTGTCGTGAGCCGCTAAACGCTGCAGGATTTACTAAGGAGGGGATCCAAGCTCTTATGGACTAAATAGTTTGATGTGCAATGAGAATAATCTGTCGACTCACTAACTAACTCGGGCAGATGCAATCCGAATTCGACTGAAACCCACAATTAGTTGACTCCTACGACATTTGTTGGGGAGGCACTTTGTCTATTCTTGTTTTCCCCATAGTGCGGCCCTAGAACCCACACGGGGATTGTAGAGTACATCTTCTAGGTTTCTTCTTCTTCTTTGATGCCATGTGTCCTGTCCATTTTCAGAGTACAGATCATCCTCATTGCACACCGAACCATTCAGTACCTGTGTGCTTGGATCCCCTCCACAATAACTCACTCAGCTGACACTGAAGGACATTTCTAACCAGTACTGCATCGAGCATTCTATTTTCTCTCCACTGTAATTGCTCTCACATTACTGGATACAACGAATGGGAAATATTATTTGTTGTTGTGAACAATGTATTTTGATTGTGTACATTTTTTTCTCCATGTAAATTCTTAACCTTGATGGTTGTTTAAATTTGTTATGCTTGAGTAACTCCGCAGTCTACAACCATGAAGCTCCAGGAATGGGGAATATCTTCTCTCTTCCTAATTGTCCTCCATTCCCTCTCATTCCATGATTGGAGAATATCTTCTCGCTTCCTCCTTGCTGTCCATCCCCTCTCATTCCAGGATTGGGGAATATCTTCTCTCTTCCTCCTTGCCCTTCATCCCCTCTCATTCCAGGATTGGGGAATATCTTCTCTCTTCCTCCTTTCCCTCCATCCCATCTCTTTCCAGGATTGGGGAATATTTTCTCTCTTCCTCCTTGCCCTCCATCCCCTCTCATTCCAGCATTGTGGAATATCTTCTCTATTCCTCCTTGCTCCCCATTCCCTCTCATTCCAGGATTGGGGAATATTTTCTCTCTTCCTCCTTGCCTCCCCCATTCCCACTCATTCTACCCCTAGATGATGAGGTTTCAGACTGGTATTTATCTGACAAGTCAAGGATATTGCTACACCAAAACATTCAGTTCATTTTCAAGCAGTCACGAATGGCACCTCTATCGATATATTTAAGGAATCCTGCTGTTAGCCCATTGCCAGGTTGCCAGGCAGGTAAACATGCATCATAGGACCAGCAGTCTACTTTGGCACCGGCTCCACCCCGCTGAAATCAGTTGAAAACAGACATCGCAGTGGACGATAACAGCAGCAGAGAATCGCTTTATTCAGCTTTGTCACCTCAGAGACAGGTTTACAACAGCCTCCTCAACTGCGCAGGCTTTGCCTCCAGGACGTCATGTGTCTGATCAAACTGTTCAGAAGAGACTGCATGATGTTGGACTTTAGACACGATGACCACATCGAGGACCTGTCCTTACGTGTCGCCACCGCCAAAATTGACTTCTTTGGACAACCATCATCATCCCTGGGCAGGTGACAATCAGTGGAGACGTGTCTGATTCAGAGACAGTTCTTTCTTTTTTTTACAGCGTCATGATAGACGCGTAAGGTCTGCCGTAGGTGAAATGAAGGTTTAGCCCAAAATTGTGTTGATGAAGCTCTGCTTCAATGTGGTGGAGGTTTAATGGTGTGGGGAACGATCAGTTACAACAGGAGTCAATTAGTGCACAATAAAGGAAGCTTGAATGCCCAGCGATACGTCAGTAACATTCTTCGACCACATGTCCTTTAATTTTGGGATGCCAACAGATATCTTTTTTTAACAGGAGAGCGCCAGACCCCATTCTGCATGGTTGATCACACAGTTCCTGGCTGCCAGTAACATTCAAACCCTTCTCTGTCCATCCCTATCTACAGACATGGGTCCGATTGAGCTCCTGGAGGATGAGCTGTGTTTGTAACCTAGGCGCTGCTTTAGCCAATGGTCATGATCTGTTCCAGGCACTCCAGGAAGAGTCGGCAGCCATCCCGCTGGCCCACATCAGACATGAGATCGAATCCCTGCCCAGGAGATGCCAAGTCACTGATCCATGCAAGAGGAGGCCACACACCATAATAACAGGAAAGGCTGTACGCCTAAAATTATCGGACCCAGATGCAAAAAAAAATGTGTCAATTGATTGGCGGAACCCTGAGATATTCTTATGTGAAATTTGAGTAATTTCACTTATTACGTTACAAAAAAAATTTTTAATTGTGAGTATGTATGTTCCTTTCAGTAACTGTGTTTCTTTCTTTCTTTCTTTTTTTTTTTTTTTAAACAGTATAGTTTCTTGTGGTTTTGATTTTTCGTTTTAAGTGTCTGGCTTCTGTGTTGTTTTAGTAACAGCTTGCCAATTATCCAACATGTCAGTTCTGCTGAATTGTGTGAATTAAGGTTGACACACTACAAGTTGTGTACCAAAAGTTCACAGAAGCAGTGATTGACGACAGTCTTTGTGCCTATAAATATATCTTGACTTGAATAGACAATCCTTGTGTAATGGTCCAGAAGGGACCTGCCATTTTAGTCCCAAAGTTTTCTGCACAACAGTTTAATGGTTTCTTGTTCTCATAAAATCATCTTTAAAATAAAACAATTAATAAACATAATGACCTGTATTGTTTGTTTTAATTTAAATCCTGTCTTCATTTCATTAAATTCAAAGGGTCTGAAATCTGTTAAAGAATGCCTTCAGGAATGGAGGCATCCCATTTTCAGAGAGGCATATTAAGGATGTAACAAGCACATATTGGCTGGCTGTTGCTAGGTCTAGGCTGGTAATGTTTTATACCCAAGGTTTTAGGTATTTCATTGTTAACAGCTTCCAAACAAAAGCAAAGAGGGAGAATGACTTCATGTGTCACAGGTCAAAGAATTGTAAAGGCCAGGGTAGAAGTTTGTCTTCGTAATCCCTTTTTTTCATAGAGCAAATATATGGCCATAAATTGGCACCAGAGCTTTAAAAGTAAAGTAAAAGTAAAGATCCTTTTCACATCTTTTAGGCGCATCGGGCATATGGGAAAAGCACATATTTTTTTTACAGACCAATCAGCACTAGGTTGATAATGTGGTCAGCATCATTACTCCGGCCGTCTTTACTTCCCCAGGACATATATTCTGGTACCCATTTAGGGCTGGGTCCACCTGCTTTGCCCCATACAAACAAAGCCTTGATCAGCCGATGTCACAATCTTAAGTTTTGCTTAAGACCGCTTGTTACAGTGTGGGAACACATTGGAACAACAAACCAGCGGGCCTAGAACTGGCACCAGAGCCTCATGCGTAGTATCAAACTAACTGATGCCATTTTTTGTTTTTTTAAAGCCTTACCCCCGGCTGTAGATTTAACAGGATTTTTGAGCTGTGCATATGGGAGATTTTCATTCGAATGGTGGCACTTTGTGTCACTGGGTGTTAGTCGCTCGTTGTGCAATCTGGGTAGTTTTGAATGTCAATCTATCAAACTAACTTGACAAGCTCAGTGGTTGTGTTGTATGTGTGTGTGTGTGTGTATGGCCAAATAGTTTCATTTTTGGGAGCATTTTGTTTTTAACTATTTTTTCCCCACAGATATGAATTGCTAACTGCCAATAACTTCCTTTATTATACCACTTCTGCAGGGAAGGCAGGGGTGTCTTGGAGCCTGAGGAGTTAGGGCCACATGGCCCCGACACAAAAATGCCCAGCCTTACCGAGGATTTGAACCCGAGTCCCCGGCTTAAGAGCCCAGCGTTTCAACAGTTTGGCCAGCTGCTTCTTTTCACAGACATAAAACTTCATAAACAAAATATAAAACAGTAACCATTCTGTTTAATGAAAACCACAAGAAAGAAAGAACAGGCAGAATGTAATAAAATAATAAATGCTTGAATAAATAAAATAATCAAGACAGTTAAAAACTGCAATTAAAATCTGTAGGCAACCGATTTGATAAATATCATTTCTGATCTCAAAGTACAAGGGTCTTTCACACTGGCACACGGACAACCATGACACAACTACTATTTGTAGACACAAGAAAAAACAATTATTTTATACAAATTTATTATCAAATAAAAAAAGTCATCTCCAAGTAGGTGGAAAAAAGACTAATATACATAATTACAAAGTTAGAGCCATGAATATATAATTAAATTACTTTCATTGACAAAATAACACCATATATACTTAAAACTATCCGATACGTTAGCACCTTGCAAAGTTTAAACTATCCGATAAATAAACAAGATCCACATTTTTACTATTTAATAAATTAACATCATATATACATCAAATCATTTGATAAAATAACACCAATCAAACATCAAACTATCTGAAAACAAAACACCAATCACACATTAAACTATTTGAAAACATAATACCAACTGTATATTTAAACTATTTGTTAAATTAACACCAAATATACATTAAAATGGCAGAATAACATCACATGTACGGTCAACAGCAAGCAATGATAAATACAAGCATAAATGCAATCAAACTGTATGATATACTGACAACATATGTATTGAACTTTCACATCATAATTATATTCATACACATAACACATTCACAGAATAGCCCTATACATTCCTAGAATCATAATAATGCCAAATCAACGTACAGTTGCTCTAAGTATTCCCATCCCCAACCCAGCTGTTATGTATTCCCATTCATAAATGTTTATGTCCTAGTTGTTAAGTATTCCTGCATCCAATTAAATATTTCTGCCATTGTTGTTACTTCAAGTATTCCTGCCTTTAGTTTAGTTTTTCTGCCCTGTTTGTTACTTGAAGTATTCTTGTCTCCAGTTAATATATAAATTTCTGCCATGGTACTTACATCAAGTATTCCTGCCTCCAGTTAATATTATAAGTATTTCTGCCATGTTTGTTACTTCAAGTATTCCTGCCTCCAGTTTATAAGTATTTCTGCAATAGTTGTTACTTAAGTATTCCTGCCTCCAGTTAATATTATAAGTATTTCTGTCATGTTTGTTACTTTAAGTATTCCTGACTCCAGTTAATATTATAAGTATTTCTGTCATGTTTGTTACTTTAAGTATTCCTGACTCCAGTTAATATTATAAGTATTTCTGTCATGTTTGTTACTTTAAGTATTCCTGACTCCAGTTAATATTATAAGTATTTCTGTCATGTTTGTTACTTTAAGTATTCCTGCCTCCAGTTAATATTATAAGTATTTCTGTCATGGTTGTTACTTTAAGTATTCCTGCCTCCAGTTAATATTATAAGTATTTCTGTCATGGTTGTTACTTTAAGTATTCCTGCCTCCAGTTATTATTATAAGTATTTCTGTCATGGTTGTTACTTCAAGTATTCCTGCACCCAGTTAATATTATAAGTATTTATGTCATGGTTGTTACTTTAAGTATTCCTGCCTCCAGTTAATATCATATATATTTCTGTCATGGTTGTTACTTTAAGTATTCCTGCCTCCAGTTAATATTATAAGTATTTCTGAAATGTTTGTTACTTCAAGTAATCCTGTCTCCAGTTATTATTATAAATATTTCTGCCATGGTTGTTACTTTAAGTATTCCTGCCTCCGGTTAATATTATAAGTATTTCTGTCATGTTTGTTACTTTAAGTATTCCTGACTCCAGTTAATATTATAAGTATTTCTGTCATGGTTGTTACTTCAAGTATTCCTGCACCCAGTTAATATTATAAGTATTTATGTCATGGTTGTTACTTTAAGTATTCCTGCCTCCAGTTAATATCATATATATTTCTGTCATGGTTGTTACTTTAAGTATTCCTGCCTCCAGTTAATATTATAAGTATTTCTGTCATGGTTGTTACTTTAAGTATTCCTGCCTCCAGTTAATATTATAAGTATTTCTGAAATGTTTGTTACTTCAAGTAATCCTGTCTCCAGTTATTATTGTAAATATTTCTGCCATGGTTGTTACTTTAAGTATTCCTGCCTCCGGTTAATATTATAAGTATTTCTGTCATGGTTGTTAGTTTAAGTTTTCCTGCCTCCAGTTAATATTATTAGTATTTCTGAAATGTTTGTT